ATCTTAAAGATTCCTAAATGCATCTACTTTCGGAAGGCCAAATAAAGTGCTTTTGCTTTCGCCTAGAAACACACAGCGTCTCCCTGACATGGCTGCTTCAACACTAACTGCGGTTACTGAAACCACGCCTTCTTTCTTTGCGTGAACACTTGGGCGGCATTACGCAAATATTTCCACATAGTGAGGTAGATATGTGGGGGCGTGTTAGAACGAGCCTTTTAGGGGGGTGTGGCGGAGTCTTAACTTTGATAAAGAATATCTCTTTGGTTTTGAGACTAGTCTTTGCAACTTCAGGGATCTTATCTATGCACAATCAGCTTGTAACACTCCAAAGAGAAAGGAAAACTTGAAATCGCATCATATGACCCCGTTAAAGTAATTTTTCCCAAAGAGTATTTTGGATCAAAGTAAAACACTAGCTTCAGTCAGTTTTGGGTCATATATGTATATATTAGGGAATGAATGTTTTATTCTGGAAAAAAAAAAAATTATGAAGTTTGGGTTGGAAACATTTTTAATGATTTTAAATGAAGTATCTTCTGCTCACCAAGACTGTGGTTATTTGATTAAAAAATATAGTAAAAATAGTAATACTGTGATATATTACAATTTAAATAACTGATTTCTATTTTAATATTATTTTAAAATGTATTACTGTGATCAAAGCTGAATTTTCAGCATCATTACTCCAGTCTTCAGTGTCACGTGATCCTTCAGAAATCATAATATGCTAATTTGCTGCTCAAGTAATATTTCTTATTATAAATGTTAAAAATAGTTATTGAGGAAAAATGTGTCTAGTTTCTTCAAAATACTTAAACCTACTTGCGTTAATGCAATTAGTTGAATTAAAGCTGAACTCGGTATTATCCACAAATAGCTATAGTAACTTTGATATTTTGCTGGGAAATATATAATGGTAAATGTTTATAAAGGAAAAGAATAACATGGATGAGTTCCACCCTTAATCTGGTAAACCTGCGATGGAGAGGTGCATATAGGAAAGAAGTAAGAATTTATTTTATAATTTCTAAGTAAATTTTCTTTATAGCAGGTAAAATTAATTTGATATCGAAACTAATGTATTCAGTTATAAAAAAATATATAGCTTGACTACAAATTATCGGTGACTTTCTCAAAATTGCAGGTGTGGGGTAAAGTGTGTCAGATACAGGTGAGCCGTGTTCGACAGGCTGAATCAGTGAAGGTGTAATCTGTGAAATCTTGAAAATTGTTTTGCAGCATTCACATATTGTGAATATGAAATATTTTCCTTGTTGGCTTGTCAAAATAAGTAGGAAATATTACTAGTTATTGCTCAGTCATTGAACTTCCCAATGACTTGACACATTTACCGCTAATGTGGGGCAAGGTGTGTTATTGGACACAATTTTTTTTTTTTTTGTGAAGTTTCATTTTATGGCCCCATGTTATAGATGTTTTGTTCTAACTTCAGTTGACAAGGCATGCTGAAATATAATTAGTAGCATATTAATTTGACCTAATTTCTTAGTGTCTAATGGACAACTTAAAGGGATAGTTCTCCCCAAAATAAATCTTTCATAATTTAAAGGGCTCATATGATGCTGCTAAAAAGAACATTATTTTGTGTATTTGGTGTAATGAAATGTGTTTATGCGGTTTAAGGTTCAAAAAACACATTATTTTACACATACTATACATTATTGTTTCTCCTCTATGCCCCGCCTTTCTGAAACGCGTCGATTTTTACAAAGCTCATCGGTCTGAAAAAGTGGCTGACTCTGAACTTTTATAAAGAATATCTCTTTGGATTTGAGACTTTAGTCTTTGCAACTTTACAGATCTTCTTTATGCACCAAGAGCTTGTAACACTCCAAAGAGAAAGGAAAAATTGAAATCGCATCATATGACCCCTTTAAAACCCTTCATGTCATTCATATTTTAAATAATATTTGTTTTCGTCCATACAACGGTCAATGGAGTCCAAAACAAGACTGGAACGACATGAGGGTGAGGGAATGATGACACAGTGATCATTTTGGGGTGAACTGTCCCTTTAAAAAGTTTTAACACAATCAATTGAAGCTCGAATATGACCTATAAGCAGTCTGTTGCGTATGAGTAGAAGCACATGGGCTGTTGTAGACAAACCAGCATGAATTCATCGGCTCCCTGTCTGTAAACTGTAGGCGTGACCCTCCCTGCTCTTCCTGCACCTGTGCGTTCATGAGCTCCGCCCACGCGTCAGGTGTTTCAAACGAAACTCGGCTGAAGTAAAGAGGATGTTACTCATGCCGGCTGGACTGGATGAAATACAGCACAAACGCTCAAACTTCAGCTTGTGTCACCATACATCGATACCAGACAACAACAACAAGTGGACGGTTTACATGCAGGTGAGTTATTTACACGTTTCTAACTGTATGACTTAAATTAAACTCTGCGTATGTCAACGCAGTAAAGATAGTTTGCGGTTTGATATTCAGATTTCCTTTGGCTATAAATACGCTGCGCGCTGTCATAGACATGCAAATAATACCGAATATCATTCTCCATGATTTGTGAATTCAGGTGACGCTGACCTTCGGGCTGAAATCAGTTTTTTTTCGTAGCGACTCTTAATTTTATAATGCCTATAGAGCCAAAAGTTGGACACTTAGAGAAATGAAACCGGTGTCATATTCACCAGCTTGATCTGTGAATTTTTTCACAGCAAAGCTCTTGTCCGTAAACGCCTTGGTAAGTCCGCTAGTAAGGAATGTGAAAGAAAGGCGTTCTTTATGTTTAACGTCTATTACCAATAAACACGCAGACTGCTGGAATACAAAAACATTGTTTTAGGTCGAGCTCGATTTGTGAAAACTTTCACAATCGCATATTATATCGTGTGGCAGTGTTTATCTTTGCTCTGCCCCCCGTTTTTTTGTATCAGCGGACCCTTCCCTGGGTCACTAACATCACTATTCTGATCTGTGAAAACTTTCACAGTTCACTACGGGTCAGCGGACCCTTCCCTGAGTCAGTAACATAACTATTATGATTTGTGAAAACTTTCACAGTTCCATACGGGCTGTGTATTTATAGCCAAAATAAATCTGAATATCAAACCGCAAACTATCTTTACTGCGGTGCGTATGTCGACATATTAGTAGAACAGAAACTAAACTGTCAACTGTAAGAGACTCAGATTCATGATCTAAATTGACCCTGAGCTGTTAATACACCGTGTCCTAAAGGATAGTGTCAAGGAATATGTTTTTCTGTTTTGTTTCATGAGTTTGAACTACACAACTGCAATACGCTTCACAAAAATGACTGGTACAATATAGCATAGGGTTAATTCAGATCAAAAACAATCATTTCAGTGTCAAACTGTCGTCCAAATTACGCAATTCACTCTCTAATGGCGTTTAGTTTACTTTAGTTAGTAATCTGTACATCTAGAATAGTGATTCCCAAATCTGCCTTGTTAAACTTATTAAAAAAACGCGTAAAATTATTAAATGTGTTCAATGTCATTATTTTAAAGAAATAAACAAACAAATGTAAAACCGTAGTGTGTGCAAGCTTTATACATTTGTGTAGCTTAGATGTGTCTCGTTACATGATTATATTTGCTAATTGGTCTTTTTTATTTAATAGTAGTGATTTAGTGTTGAATAATATCCAGCAGGATGTAAGTTAAAGGGATAGTTCACTCAAAAAAAAAATTACCCCCTGATTTACTCACCCTCAATCATCCTAGGTGTACAGTGGGTACGGAAAGTATTCAGACCCCCTTAAATTTTTCACTCTTTGTTATATTGCAGCCATTTGCTAAAATCATTTAAGTTATTTTTTTTTTCCTCATTAATGTACACACAGCACCCCATATTGACAGAAAATGAGGAAAAAAAATTAACTTAAATGATTTTAGCAAATGGCTGCAATATAACAAAGAGTGAAAAATTTAAGGGGGTCTGAATACTTTCCGTACCCACTGTATATGACTTTCTTCTTTCAGACGAATACTATCAGAGTTATATAAAAAAAATGTCCTTCCTCTTCCAAGTTTTATTATGGCAGTGAATGGGTGTTGAGATTTTGAAGCCCAAAAAAGTG